AACCACTCTGTTACAACTGAACAAGACGCTTTGTTCGGCACCCGAAGAGCTATCAAACCGGTCGCCCTTACTGCGGGCGCAAGCCATCAACTGGGAGCTACTACTACTAGTAAGACGGTTTTCTGTTATTGACGATACACGTGGCTGGCATGTGGTCACAGTCTTGTTTTTTGTATGTTTTTTTCTACGTATTATTTGCTCTGAGCAGTTCTTTATATAGTGTATATCAACACCATAAGGGATGGTTCTCACATGCAGCGAAGCGCTGATGTAGCGCTGTTTGCGTGCGGTCAGCTTTTTATCGTCTGCCACGAGCAACAACTTTGACGGTGCGAGACAAAGCTGGTGAACGCTTCCGTCAGCACGCGATTATCGCGAGCTCAGCGCTATGCTTGTAGCGCTCCGCTGCATGTGTGAACAGGCCTTAAGCGGGACAAAACAGCTCTGTATTAGATGTCAGCGAGATGAGTCTTCTTCAACGCAGCGTATGTTTGATAATCCGAAACAAATTCTGGGAATTCTCGCCTAATACACACGCCATAGAGCTCAAAAGAACAAAATGAGGGAGAGGATGTTTAGAAGCCTACTGGTCAGTCCAGCATCTCACCAGCCCAGCGGACACGTGTTTGTTGCTTATAAGAAAGCGAGCAGAGCACGTCGCACACGGGCGAATATAAGAAGGGCTCCGGCCAGCAGCCATAGTGGCCAACATATTTGTTTGCCGCTGGACGCTTGCTGGCATCAGGCTTAGACAAAACTTCTGCAACGTACATTTCGTATCATATAACCGTTAGAGTTATTAGCGTACGTTAAGTCTAATCTTACACTGCGCATGTTCCGATACACAGATGGCTCGAGTTTGGGGATAGCATTTCTTGCACGTGGCGGAATGGCGCTGCCCACCGCCATAATTTATTTCTTATTGCTCTCCTTTCGTATTTTTGTATGCTCATTGGCAGCTCAAGAAACGCAAAGCGTAGCTTACGTTCACACCTCCTCCTTCGTGATTCGTACTTCGACGTTCTAATTGGCTAATGCAACAATTTCATTGGGTGCTGAGCGACGATAAGAAGCACCAATCTCGCCATGCCTTGAGTTTTTAAGCCGTCACTGAACACGGCGCAGAGCTAATTTCAAAGAAATTCAGTTGACGCCTTTCTTTTAGAGCCACAAGGACACCGCCAGCAATTCGTGCGCCTGACCTTCACCTTATTTTCAAGTATTATGGGCTTGATCAACAAGTGCACTTATGTACGCAAAGCCCGTAATAGAAACTTCTAGCAACTTCAAAAGACAAAGTCATTGTCACGGTCAACGTACCATGCTAAGAGAAGCCTAAGTTCTAGATAATTATTTCCTGCTGTTGAATAACGGACTGTCCAAATTAGCCCCACCGAAATATTAATTTTGATGTGCCCGATTCAGAATGTAACATTTCAATCCTATATGCTTACAATATCAGAATCGATGGTTCTGAAACAGCACAACTTCTTCCATCCTAACTTCAGCATAAAAAACTGGTTTTTTTCTTGACACAGAGCTATGTGGTGTTCACAATGGAGCACAGCCGAAGATATCGGCGCCTGCACCTAAAAAGTTCCAGCTTTCATTAAATGTGCGTTAACGTAGGGTTTTTCACTTGCCAAACTTAAAAGGAGTAGCCCTCTTCCCCTAAAAATTTAGATACTTTTTCCAGGGGCAACGGCGGACATGTTCGCAGATGACCGAGGTGGTCTAGGTTGTAAAGTGTGGCGTCATCTTTCGATAGGTTCCGCGAGGAGACGACAAAGTTGTCTGCTCGCTGTCGCACTAGAATTTTATGACTCCTTTGAATTTTGGGTACAATACCAACATTGTAATCACCCATTGTGTTATTCCATAGAAACTCAAATAACTTGGGGCAATTTTCAGGATCAAGGGAAACGCCTGATGCCGACGCAGTCAGTTCCGAGGCGAAAAGGACTGTCGACTCGACTTACCCGAAAGCAGTCAGCTCGGCCGAAGAAATGCATAGGGCCTCGGCAGCCGAGGGCGTTGCATCACGCAGCAGCAACAACCATTTTAGATCAAGCTCTCTTATCAAAATAACGCCTATCAGCAGCAGCATGGGAACCATGTTCGACTTTACAGGTTCAACTAAACGACAAAGAAGCCTGAAATCAGCGTTTTCTGACAACAGCATTGCGGACGATTATCAGTGTTCACATGCAAACAAAGTTGCAAGCGTGACCGGGTCACAAAACATAGTAACGGTCATTAACCAGCCATCAACAATGAACTCATGTAATCTCCAAGATGTAGAAGTTCCCATCGGTTCTTGCGACAAGGGCTCGACTGGTGCTAGACAAGAAGAAATGACCGCGGAGTCGGCATCGTCCGAAAAACTTGGACTAAGAGACTCGAACGCTTTCTCCAAATCTTTGGGAGCACAACTGACGATGACACAGCAGACCAGTTCCAAGTGGAAAAATAGCACTCCACTGGAACAGTCCCGTTTTGAAACACTAGAAGGCACAAACTACGTCACGTCGAATGCATTCGATTCGCTTCAGGCAAGGGTAACATCTCCTTTTACAGCAGTAATGCCCGTCCATACTGAAATTCAAAGCAAAGAAGAGCCTGTCGCTTTCCCTTCGCTCGTAAGGGCTCGGCTCGATTTGATACCTGATCGCCTGAAGAAGACTGACAAAAAGGAAGAAGTAAGCGGCGCCACCGAGGTGGCGATAGCAAATACATCGAAGAGCGACACTGCTCCGGACGCAACCGAAAAGCCATTGGAAAAAGACTCCTCCGCGAAATTAACCATGAAGTCATCGGAAAAGAAGCCTTCCCTTCAAGTAACCTCAACGTCATCAGTAAACGAAAATGACATTGCGCAGTCGCTTAGTCCTCGTCCAGGATTGCCAGAAACCCTGATTGCGCCAACGGCGACAGGACGTCGGGCATCCCTCGGAATCACATCTCAATCCCCTCAAGAGAAATTTCCCCTGAGCTCCTCCTTCGATGTCCAATTCGATACATGGAGCTCCCCTTTTACTCAGCGTTATGATGGACTCTTTCGGACGTTGGGTGACAAGAATAACGTCAACACTCAAGGTACAGTGTTCGGGGGGAGCATGATGGGAACATCAAGGGAAGCTAAACCCCTGTTCGACTCTATTCGCTCGGGTCCGACACATGTAGCTCAAGCTGAGTGTGCACCTGAAGACCTGTCGACAATAGACATGAAAGGAAAGGCAGGACATTCACTGCAGACAGCAAGGCTCCCCGGCTCTTTCTTTCAAAAACAAGAAGAAAAATCACTTTTCGATACATCTCCAAGCCTGTTTACACGGCGGACTGAGCGCGAGAGCATATCAGACAAATTTATGAACGTCGTCAATAAGCGAGAGACGGTTGTAGCCCCAGAGAACAGCGGTGGAGTTAACACAGCCCATGAAGACAAGACGCTTCTTAACTTCTCGCCGCAGGCGGGAACGCAGTCTGGACTATCCGCAATATCCACTTTTGCGCAGCCCGCTGCTGCAGAGGATCGAACATTTTTCGGCTCAAATTCATGCACGCACCCTGTGCTCGGTGACGAATATCCATTTATAGTACCGGTTTTAGACAGCGAAACAGTGGCTAGACAGTTGCAACACCAAGCACTCCAAAATTCCGATTCCAAATATGCTAATGAACCTTCGCAAAATTTAGAAGAGACAGCGACTCCGCACTGGTTGGAATACTTCGGTGAAAAAACACCGCAATCAGAGCACCAATCAAGTTCCCAAGTATCATCACTGGAGCATCCGTTTCCGTTGGAGAAAGCCGTAATCTCGAAACATAATATTCAGCTTCAGCAAAATGTTTTAAAACCTACAGTAAAGGTTTACAATAAAGAGGGTGATCTAATCGAAGATAAGATTACAAAAGAATCTTACTGTGAACCATACATGGACAGTAACCTTCGCCTCTACATTGGAGAGGAGCTTAAAGGACTAACTGAATTCGTCAGGTCTACTAAAAAGAAGATTGAAGAAAGTGAAGCACTACAGAAGCCACTGCCATTGGCCGACGATGAAATAGAAGTGAGATCTTCCAAAGGAATGGCGGCGCTTGGTGTTCTCCAGCATGAAGATTACGATGAAGACGGCCTTTTCAGAACCAGCGAGGACGACCTATTAGCTGCACAATCTGGTATCTATTATTACGAGGACAACAGCCTTCGTGGGTATTTTGCTACAGACCGAAAGAAACAAAAATCGCAAGTGTCAGGGAAGACGAGTGTTATACCTTCCTACTCTGAAACTCCTGCGCAATACCAGGACACGAATAAAGAAAACGTCACAGAAGGCCGCCACAGAAAATATACAGAGTATCCTTTTAGCGAGAAGAGAGAGTCACTCCCCCTATCTGAACCGTCGGAAAATTTATACTTAGAAATCCCCGCGCCGGCTCCTCAAAGAACAGTGCCAGCCGTATGCAGACCCGAAGTACCACTAGAGTCTAAAACTGAAACTGACCACAAAGTCGATTCTGCGACCAATTCAAAAACACAGGAAGGCAAGCCTCCTTCGCATCTTATCAGCAGAAGGTCCATCGCAGAAATAATAGAAGAAATTGTTCAACATCACATTAATACCGCTGCTGCCCAAAGGCAAGAGAAACAAGTCAAGGAAACATTGCCTCAAACTTTCTCTGTCTATAGTCCGCATCGACCTGGAGCCGAACAACAGTCGAGTACTGGTCCCGTCCCGGTGTTTTACACTTCAACAGTCGGTAAGAATATTCGCGATGAATACGTGAGCGACTATCGTCATCCGCAGTCGGAGATGCCTCACATAAGTGCCCGTAACGTCGACCAAACTCCCCCTACATCGCAACGGGAACAGCTCGGGGGAGTGATAACGTCTACAGAGCAAAGGGTATCTAAATGCATCATCATGAAACTTGATCCGAACGTCTCGACTTACCTGGTTGAGGTTACAGCGCCTGAAAAAGGCCAGAACACGCCAGACATGGTCATGGCCGAAGAGCAAATTCTGGTAAGCGAAATTCTGGATCAGATCACGGCACCGACAGTTCGTACAACATCTTCGGGCACAAACGTATGTGATCAACGACCCTCCATTGGTCTTCCGTCGCACAGTGAGAGTCTCACAAGGATACGGAATGCTTACGCCGAAGCCGTTGCAAGACGAGTGCTGTCCATAAACCAGACGAGAGAAATGGACAATATGCTTAAAGACTTTCCCAGGACTAAGCTACTTGAGCAGCACACAGGAGTAATCCAAACCCCGCAAGGATTTCTCGACACACGTAAGCCCGCAAATTCCATTCATTCGAATGCTGAGGTGTTTGTAAACAGAGCGATAGTTTCCAATCCGCGCTTCGATCACGCTACATTCGTGTCCAAAGGATGGCTTGAAAAGGACTCTTCCTTAGGCAAAAAAGAATCGAAGACTGAAACAAAGGAAGCAAACGCGAAGTTAACTGACAACAGAGCCTTTCACACAGAACCATTTATAACACGCCAAGCTCCAGCATCAGGTGCATCTACAAATAGAACTGACATAACTCATGAAGCAGGATACGGTACCGCAGCATCCGCAGACAGCAAAAACGTCCAAGGCGCTGTTAAGGTAACGATATCAGGTACAGAGATATATGATGATGAAGAGAAGGTGGCAGATTCAACCCAATCTGCCATAAAGGCTGCAGAGAAACGGGGAGAAAAAAAATACGTAGCAGATTCAGATCAACCACCGTTATATGGTACGATACCCGCAGAGAAAAAGAAACAAGAGCACGCTTCTGACCAAAGAACAACACAAGATACAATAAAAACTGACAAAACGGAGCTCGTGACGAGTGACGAATCGCAAAAGTCTCCATCTCGTTCAATGCAGAGTGAAGAAAATAAAGGTACGTCGACTGGGACGGCTAAAGAAACTAAACTAGCGTCCACACCGACGCAAGGGGCGCCACAATCGAAGACAGTTGGAGCGCACACAGGCTACTGCGCAGTGTGCGAAGGTGCATTGCCATTGGAAAAGGCTTGCCTCTCATTTCTTTGTTTCGGAAGGCATGACTTGGCGAACTACATCGCAACCGTTCCATCTGAAAGCCTGAATTTATTCAAGTTGAGAATCGCATCTGACGGCGATGTCAAGGAAGTGATGTTCTTGCCATGGAAGGAAGAAGAATTTACTTCCACGGTGTCCGCCTCAATTATCACAAGACGCATGGTGTGCCCCAATGGCTTCTACGTCGCTGTCGAGGCCGCGCAAGGTAGGTACTCTGTTTGCTTACCGTTCGCAACTTCCACAGTCAAAGCATTGAGCGCAAATGGTAATCAAAATGCTTGGGCGTCCGAAAGATCACTAAGAAACAACAGTATGCAGTAAATATTTTGTTGCGTAAGTAATACCCAATTAACACGGCAGCCTAAAGATACCTCTAACTTACGTCCTTTAGCTAAAGGTACCTGTAGTAAATGGCTTTCTTGATCACACGATAAATAAACGGAGCACTTTAAGTTGATGTCGGTTGCACTCCTGCTGAACAGCGAGAGGAGCTCATGATAAACAATTATTCCTCGAAATCTTTTTCACGCGCAGTTTTTGATTATTGTGTGTTAATACCACAATTAAAACAAGAATAATATTTCTGTTTGCCTTTACGGCACTTTATTTTTTTTTTTTTTCAAAGTCTAAGAGCGCACTTAAATGAGCCTTGCTTTAAAACGACCGACGGGCCTGGCCGCACTGGCCCTAAATTGTCTGCGTTTACGAGTTTCCATTGCGATGTGGTTGACATTTTTCTGTTTAGCAGCTCCATTTTTCCATGAAGTTTTCACTGAGGTAGCTAAATAGTGCCCGGCAGAAACGACCAGCGTCGGAGTCTCACGGTTACACTAGTGCCACTAAATAAGCTACGCTCCAGAGTAACGACACTTGGCCATATTGCGGCTTAAAATCATGGTTGCCGGTTATCTGAAGCTTTATCTGAAATCACAGGAAACGCTTTTCTGCCCTCCACAAATGCTTAAACAGTTCGCGATGGAGTAAAGCAATATTACGTGAGCTTCCGAACACTCAATCTGATGCTGAGGAAGTCGCACTTTTGAATCACGACGATCGGCAGTTGCGTCTGCTCTGCACAAGCCCCAAAATGGCGGCGCCCAGAACAATGTCGGGGAACGAAGTGCCGATACTCTAAGCGCAGCTCATTTAGTGGCTCTAGGTTACACCAGTCACGCCATCGAAAGGAATGGACGACGACGAGGATGAAGGGTACTGGGAGAGTGAGTCGGACGACTCGTCTACGACCTTCAAAAAGAGCTCGCAGTGATCCATCGCGTTCGGGTTCGTAGCAGACATTGTTTCCCACGTGCTGCCGCTGCTACCTGCTAGCTGGAGTATGCATTTCTCTTTAATGTAATATTATATCCCATTTGTGTTCAGAATCATTTCATAATTTGCTACTTATATATATTCAATTTGTTATAATGCATTACACAAGATATACTAATACATCTGTTATTTTTAGAGTTCGTGGGTCCGAGGCTACTCCCTGTAGCTGTAAAGGAAACTATGCGAGCGCCGTTTAACACAGGACCTCCCTTAGCGAAAGGGACCTTTATGCGCCGTGTGATTACGATCTCCAGCTCTCTTTACTACAGGTACCTGTGCGAAAGGTACCTTTACGCTGCCGTGTGAATCATAAAATTACTATAATAATAACTTAAAAACTTGCATTAAACGGACAACTTTTATTTTCATTTGAGAGGGGTATGACGACTGGGTTCCTTATACTTTGTTCACCTTTGAGGTCACAAGGCAGCAAAGGCAACACGCTCGAGGTACCTTACGTTTTTTGCTTTGTAATGTGTCTTTATAGCGCGAGCATTAGTTAAGCAAAAGCATGCTTCAAAACCGGACATATTATGGTTAAGTTTCAATATCGCTCGTCTCATAAAATAAAAAAATATTAATTACGATTCAGAATACCAACAAAGTACTACTCAACCAGGTTATGGTAGGCTGGAAGTTTGTTTGCGTGTCGGAACGGGGAGGAGGGGGTGGCGACCATTCACGCTGTCCAGAAAATAAGAGTGGGCCAGCCATTCGGCATAGACAGAGACCCTGAATAGAACCACACCAACAACAGAGTCACTGGGAAGACTGTTCGTCGTACAGAGTACAAGAAATAAATGCAATAAGCACCATCGTGAAGCTGTCATGAGTCACAGTTGTCCCGGTGTCCCTGTCGTTGCACTCGTTTTGGTATTCCCAGTGAGAATAAAGCCCCTTCATCCTGGAAAAAACGGCGCCATTCATTCTGGAAATTCCCGAGACACGTGCCGCCCGCCACTTCTGGGAAGAACATGGCGTCTGAAATCTAAATCGGTGCTGCGCTGTGCCGCCATGATCTTCCCAAGTGCTGCAGGTTGAACGTGCCTTTTGCATCGAGGGCAGCTTGAGCTAATTTCCGAGGATCCAGTGACGTTAAGCGAGAAGTGTGAGTATCGCCGACTGGTGGAATTTTTTCACAACCCGGAGTAAGGATACTTCAACTTCCTCTGCTGGTGCAAGCACGTGCAAAACCAAACTTCTATTCGCTATAAAAATTAAAACATAACTGCGTGGGTAGCACGTGCACTACTCACAGTGAAGACACCCAACGCGCTCCTAGCGATCGCCCTTACAAAAATGTCCTATCTGGACTTATATTAAAAACCCGGATATGGATATATAAGGAACCGGGCGGATACGGCCAGATACGCATCTGAGGTTCATATATGGCCCTTATATGTGTGCATATCCGGCCATATCTGTCCAATTTTTTTATAGGCCAATATCTTGATTAGTTTATATAATCCCATATTTGGACATGGTAAGTAATAAGTACGTATCAGCCCCATATATGGCAATCTTATATACGATGCTACTTGCAGTGTTTTAGTTATCTAAAAAAACTACAAGCTAAAAACTGAGAAAACTGCAATACACTCCTTGTGGCCAGCGAGTCACACATATGCAGGCACGCAGACACCACTGTTCGCCAGAACCAATATAAAACGACGAGCTTAAAACTGCTCCCCGGACGTGATAAAATAATGAACACACGAGATAAAATGTGGAATAATAAACACATGCCTCAAAATTATATACACGTGAAGAGATCGCGCGTTTCTACGGAACAGGCGTAAACATAGGCAAGTGAAGGCATGCTGCTCGCTCCTGTAACGTTTGTCGCGCTTCCGCTTTGTGAAACAAATTGGTGGTTGTAAAATAAATGCTATCAGGGACACGAACCTCAGGACTCTATTTGCCTACCCATGGGAATTATTCACTTCTTATAATATCGCGAATGCCAAAGATGCCTTTTAAACACGGCATAGCAGTGACGCATCCGCGCATGCAGACATAGTGTAGAAAAGAAAAACGGCAAAATATAAGAGGAAAATGTTTATTTTCAATCACCATTGCAATCAGCATGCAAAACTAAGAAACCAATACAATTTCCTGAAGTTGCTTCGAGGCGCCACACATCAGCCGGATTTCGACCACGCAACGCGAAAACGAACAGGATACGTATATGAAACTTGACTGCTTGCGATATAAACAGCAAACTCCAAATGCAGGCGGCGCACGGCACATTCACAAATAAACCCTTGGAAGACACTCGACACCGCTTGAGACGAAACGCAGTAAAGTTGATACACACGGCCCATCCCGCTGCTCCCGAATCTCGAACTGGACACCTGACCGCTAAATTTCCCCGCTAAATTTAGCGGGGATACTTAACCCGCCCAAATTATTGGGGAACTTTTCGCTAACTTTAGCGGGAAATTTGGCAGAAATATCCTGCTAAATGGGAAGCGAGGGGGAGAGGAGGAGGGGAGGCTACGGAGGGAGAGGAGAAACATACCGTCCCCTCCGTACCTTCCCCTCCTCCTCCTCAAAAGCTGCTTTCTAATTTCGCATTACAGGGAATTGAAAAACGTCTTTCATATTTGTTACATGAATTTCTGTCCGTGTCAAATAATAAACATAATACTTCTATATAAAGGTAAATATTAGAAAAGGACGCCATATAGTGAACTACATATAGCTATACACGGCTAAATATAGGAAAAGCACGCCATATAAGGGACTACATACAGCCATATATATAACAGTAATTTACGCCATATATGGATATATATGTTACCATACCAGGCTATATATGGCATCCCTTTGCGATGTATGCCCCTAGTTGTTCCTTTATGCGCCAATATACTGTTTTATTTATTTACTTGTATGAATAGATATAGCCATATAAGGAGTATTCACTGGGCGCCATATTTGTGGGTGATGTCTAGAGCGCATTCTCTGAACGAGCCCACATTAATAGGCTGCTAAGACCGGCAATCTTGAGCGTGAGGAATGCGCGTTACAAAAGAAACTGTGGAAGCTTGCCATCAGCACGCGCTCAGCAGTCGCGCACACAGCTATGGCCGACAGTGAATACTTCCTATATGAAAGATGTCTGGCCCATATATGACGTTTTTGTAAGGAGCAGCTTTTCACCGCGAATAGGTGGAATTCACTGGCGGCCATAATTGAGCCCGCTGTCGCAGAGCGCGAGCTCACGATGAGCTTCCACAATGCTTCAGCAACGCGCAGTTCACGCCGCCAAGATCGTAAGTTCTATATCAAGGTAAGTGGGATACCGTTTTGAGCATGCGCTATGGATGCTGCGCTTACATTGGCGCCCAGTGAATACCACCTATAGTTGTCTAGGCGACTGACGAAAATATCTGTGCTACGTCAAAAATGCAGTGGAAGCTCCGCCTCCAGCAGGTGCATTCAACTTTTGATGACACTTGGGCATCTCGTGACCACGAAGAGCCGTAGCACGTCGGAAGCCCACAAGCGCGTGTTGAAAGCAGAGCTTCTCTGTCACTGACTGTACCGCATGTTAGCACGAGCACATGGCGTTTTTCAGTAATTAATCGGCACGTAATTTCGTGCAAAAATGAAGCTGTACCAAGCCACGGGCTTGTGCAAGTATTTTTGACAGCGTCCTACAATAATTATAAAGACGTACAAATTCGCACGCTTGCAACCGCGCTTTTGACAACACTGCACAAGACTTTTTAGATAGAGTAAGGTGCTCTGTCGGCGTCGGTAAAGACTGTGGCGATACGCGAAGCGCCGTGACCATACTGAGCGCGCATGCACGGCATAGGTTCAAGGACATAAAATACCGTTTCGGTTGCAATATTTTCAGGAAACATCTGCGGAACAGCCAGCATCCTAACCTTTGACGAAGAAGTCGCTTTCTGTGGCTTCTTCCACCTGCTCCAGGGCTACTCGTTCCAGGACTTAGGTCTCTTACTCTGGAACCAAATGCTGCACACAACGGGAGGCAAGAACGTATTCACTGTGCTTCCGCAAGATGACAGCCAAGAGCTTCTCTCCAGTTATCCGTTTCAGGTATCCACCGTCAGCCCCATCATGTTCGGGCCAGTTCGTTTGTCCAGAAGTGCTTACAAGAAGAAAGTCTTGACACTCGACTACAAGGACAAGTACTTCGACGCCCTAGTTTCCTACGACAAGCACGTTTTCGGGTACAGCAGAAAGCGATTCCTAGATTCCACGCTGCAAGAGATGGGTCTTCATGTCAGGGTGGCAACCAGGAACGAAAGAAACGTCAGCGGTTACGGAGCGATACAGAAAGACAAACATGGACGTCCTGTCTTGCGCTGGCTAATGGCCGACGACGTGGAAACAGCAGAGTCACTCATGCATAGTCTCCTTCAGCTCCTCGAACCGGGGGAAGAGGTAGAAATAGTGGGAGCGTTTTACACCCGCAACGCAATCACAAGACATTTCTTGGACAAAGTGAACATATGCGAACTTCGGCCCTGGGTGCTTGTCTACACCAAAAGGGAGCCCATTTATAACTGCAGAAAAATCGCTGCCCTCACCGTGGTTTGAATCCATTCTCGTGTGCCTGGAGTGAGCGGTGCTTTTACTCCCTGCCTAGTTCTTCGGAGCGCATTCCCTTAGATTTATGGGCACATTGCGGGAGCAGATACTTCAATAAATCAACACTTTGAGTGGAGAAGAGGATTTGTTTTTCTAAGCAGAATTCCAGAAATGTCAGAAAGCCTCACAATGCGACGCGCGACGTGAGCAATGCTCTCTTCAAAAAATCGTACATTTAGTCGCCACAACGGAAGCTTCGAACTCTTTGCTCTAATGACTCTTATGGAATAACAAACTCGACTATAGACCCTGGTAGCTTAAGAAACGCTGATTGTAGCTAGTCCCAAGCGCCTTATTATCACTCTGTATACAACAAGGTTGCGGAACCAGCCAATAAGCATACCAAAGAAATAATCCCGAAGCCTGAACGTGAACGTCCACGTCCTGTGCATCTTGAGATGTCAGTGACGAAACTACAACTTCTCGACTCTAATAATCTCAGTGCAGATTTGTAGAAAAACATTCTCCGCTGCCTGTTCTGTGCATCGTGGTTACTAGAGAGTTTTAGTGAGTCGTTCTGACGCGAACGGTTTGTTCCCGTGCGACACAGTGACGCCACTGCGCATGCGCGCGGAAATTGCACAAGAACTCGCGAATGGTTCAACCTAAAGCCAGCAAATGAGCTACGCTTAAAGTATCGACACTGTTCCCCGATATTTTTGTGTTCGCCTCCATCTTGGTACATGCGCAGAGCAAACACAACTGCTGATCGTCATGATTCAAAAGTGCGACTTCCTGAGCATTAGATTCGGCGTTAGAAAGCTTTGTAATATTGCTTTGGTCTGTCGCGAACTGTATAAGCATTTATGGAGGACGCGGAGGTGTAATTGTTGTGATTTTAGATAAAGCCTCAGATAACTGGCAACCATGATTTTAAGCCCCAAGATGAGTAAAGGTCGTTACTCTGAAGAGTAGCTTATTAAGTGGCTCTAAGATGAACCTACCTAAGAGCAGTGTTACTAATTGTTTTCTGCTAAATTCCTACAGGCACCCTTGAAAAACCCTACATGTTCCAACATGAGCCACAAGCGTACCTTCGTCCATCTCTCTACATAAAAAAAAAGCCCGAATCATATAATAAACCCCGCGCTAGCTTCAGACGCGCCTCTACTTAGTTGTGGAGTCACGACAGTTTTGTTTTATAAGGCCCGCTCCAAACGGGGTAATTTCTCCCAGCAATTTTTCATCGCAACACCAGCAACATGGGCCGCTCGCGTTCATACGCAGCAACCGCAACCTAATTGATACGATTTACCATCGTCATCAATACATTTATTTTCGTGCACTATTTAGGCACACAGTTGCGCGCTAAACAGGTGTTTTATGTATTTTTAGGAGTTCTGAATGCCAACTCATCTTTCTGAAACAGTTTATTCCCAACAACAATCGATTTCAAACCAAAACCAAGTTTTTAGTTTTCATCATCACCGCCAAAGGAATGTCACGTGACAATATCGCGTCCATGCTTGGCTGCTGCCGCTCCAAACGCCTCCGAGTTGTCCGGGTTGCTCGTCCGTTTGGAGCCGGACGCGATCCCAGCAAATTCGAAGGACCAGTTCATGGTGTGTTTAGACTTGAAAAAAAAATCGCTGCTGCCAAAACGAATTCGGCAATGGTGTAATTCAGGAGGTGTTTACACCTATCCCTGCCAGCGGCGGCCGTTTTTTCGTTTGCTCTCGGAGCGTCGTATCTGCGTCGAGAAGGCACAGTTTTTGTTTCGTCTACTACTCTCGGCCATTTTTGGCAAGATCTCGAAATACATCTACAAGATTCATTCATTGGACGCCATATTTGAGAGAGATGTTTAGAGCGAGCTCACGTTAATAGGCTGCTAAGACCTTCAATCTTGATAGTGCGGAATGCACGTTGCAAAATAGCTGCGGAAGCTCGCCGACAGCACGCGCGCAGCACACCCTGACGGTCAATCACAAATCACCTCACAATCCTTAAAGCAGGGAACTTTTCTCCTCTGCTTTGGGCACGAAAGTTTCTCCCTCTAAGGAGGAACATAGGTTACAAGACCGTTCCTCCGTTTAGGGAGGTCAGATACCCTTTATTTATTTATATTTATTTATTTATTTATCAATACTGCCAGCCCAATATAGGGCCAAGGCAGGAGTGGGGTGATGCAGTGTCACGCATGCACATTATAAACAAAACAGTTCTAAATAAAAAGCAATCTTAGCACCGAAAAATAATATCTACGACTTATTCGAAAGAAGAGAAACAATATCAACAGTAATACAGTAACCAAATGTAATACTAGTAATAACAATAACAGTATAGCAGTAAATGTAACAGCAGTAATAAAAAATAAAGACTAAAAATAATTTCATAAGAGCAATAAAAGCAATCTTAGCACTGAAAAATAACATCTACGGCTTTTTCGAAAGAACAGAGTGAATCAATATCGACAACATCACCGGGAAGTCTGTTCCACAAATCAATTGTATGCACAAAAAAAGATTGTTTATAGCTATTTATTCGTGCTTTAATAGGGGCTACGGTCTTTGAGTGATGCAAGCGTTCCGAGTAAAAACTTTTTGGTTTTAAGTAAACGGAGCCATCAATTTTTATACAGTTCTTGAAAATCTGAAAGAAAAGCTTCAACCGTTGGCTCTCTCTTCTGTTTGACAGAGGGCTTATATTGGCTCTCCTTTTAAGTTCGGTCACAGACCGTAGTTCGTCTGAAATCTGAAAAAACCATACGCACTGCTAGCGATTGAATATCTTCGAGTTCTCTGACCAGAGAGCTCTACCATGGGCTCCACACTGCAGACGCAGATTCTAAGAGTGTACGTTAAAGGCACCAGGTTAGCGGTTCTACCGCACTGGCTAAGTTGCTCATGCATAGCTGAAACACCAGACGCCCCACTGAGGCAGACCAACTTCCAACAGTATAAACATACGCCGTACACGCAACAATTTGCTTTTGGCGCGACTTGGCACGAAATGGTAATGCGTGCCCAACGGACCACCGAGCATGGACACGTCGTGAGCCGGCCTAGAGCCACTAAAAGAGCTTATTTAGTGGCTGAGAGTGTGAGGAGGATTGTAAGGAACAAGGTAGGGGGCGATGAAAGTGTGGTTCAGATGAAATGTGCGACGCCTGCCGACTTCATATAGCCGACAGCGAGTCGAGAATGGCGGCGTTTCTATGGTCCGGTGTTCCTACCGCCAGAAGCCAGTCTCTGAGCACTTTGGTTTTTTGTTGTCAGGCAGGGCATTGCTTGCACTCTCTCTTTGTGGACTGGAGAGAGGACCTCAGACCCAGAAGATGTTTGTTGCTGTCGCGGGGACCTTGCACGATGTGCATAGTCCGTCCTACACATCTACGGTGCGGATGTCCTTAAACTTGAATTTGGTCCTTCGCTCTGGGGTCATCACTTTTTGTGTGCGGAGTCTCCGGACAGGCTGTAACGCTCGGACGGAAGTGGGCGCTCGTCTATTGTGACAAGGTCCGCCAGTCTCTGTCGGCGAGCACAATGTTGGGCCGCTTTCAGCTCTGACAGGTCCGTGCCTTCCTCTTGGGAATGCTCATTAACGACGGGAAGTGTCGGGCCTGAACCGGGAAGGGATGCGCGAAGATGCTCCAGTGCGGCCGCGTGCGCCCTGTCGTTCCCCGGGATGCCTTGATTGTCCCGGGATCCAACCTAGGGTTACGTTCCTTCTTTCGCTGTGGAGAAAGGAATGTAAATTCTGCGAAGTTCCATCGGCAGCATTCTTTTTTGTGTGTGTGTGTGTGTTATTTGTTAAAAAGAAATATCTCAAATATCGCCAACTGCTCAACAAAAAGAAAAGGTTCTAGAAAAAAATAATAAGCCCACACTGGGAATCAAACGGAGGCCCGCTGCGTATGAAGCATACACTTTACCACTATGCGATGCCACCGCTTTGGAAGCACGTTGTAACCATTCTTTTTATACGAGTTTCGCGTAGTGCGCATAGCCATTTCCGGTTGAGGTGCACGACGTAGTGCGTACAGCTTTACTGTAATGCTAAAGTTCGAAAGTGTAAATATACGTAGTTTCCGTCATATTTTCATACTGTTCAGTCCTTTTCCCAGAGCGCAACCGCTCTCGGGGAGTAGACAACCGACAGTCACATTGGCCACTGTACGATAAGAGCTATACGTTTCAGATCAGAGTTCCAACATATCTATCCGCACGTCGATTGATTGCACCTAATCCCTCAAGTGGTCTTAAACTCTTGAATGTAGAGCGGAATGTCAACCTCCGACTCCCCGCCCCCTCCGATCATGGCCCGACCATTCGCATGAATGCCCGGCAGCTCATCCTGTTGTTACACCACTGATACGCCAAAACACGAACACACGGACACATCGGCGATAATTCCAGTATTCTGTTCACAACGCACAACGCTGCCATCGCGATGTTGCTGCTATGTTGCTGACACGCAGAAATGCAAAACCACGTTGACTGCCGGTTGGCACTCGGCATCGAAAAACAGAACCAAACTCAGCACAGCAGTCATCCAGGCATCAGGCAGCAAAACCTGCCTGTTTTGGACGCAGTTTCCGCGATTTCCATAACGTCGTCAACGTCGACACGTCCACTGTGAACACATCGTTCCGCGTGGTTCCGCGTGGGTTCCGCAATCCGGATATGGCCATCTTAGCCCAGTTAGAGTGTACTAGAAGGCACGAGTGGGACGAGCCGCAGGCTCCGCTCATGCTTTCAGTTGCACCTCAAAGTGTGGAAAGCGATCAGGTGGAACCAAGCCACTTTGATCGCAGCGCCACCTTTGCTGCGATCAAGCAACGACACAGATGAAGGTTATATGGGCAATATAGCCTCTTGGGGGCTATATTGTATTTTTTTGTAATTTTGTCGTCAGAGGTAACATCAAAGCACCAGCACGACGACGACACGACGCCATCGTCGATGACGTTAGCCACGCCAAGGTGCTGTCGTAAGGCCGTCGTGACA